ATCTTTATATAAATTTTCACGAAATCTGTGTGGGATATACGTATGAAATGAGAATTATGTTAGTTCATTTAATACAGCTGTACTTATACTCGCTTGGCATGCATCTCCGCTTTCTTGGCGTAACAACAAATATTCAATTACACAGATAAGCCAATATACCAAATAACTTCTACTCGTAAATCTACAAGTTATAGTCATAGTTTTTATACACAATTATTGATTGCAAAGTTCAACATAGGCAAGTACTTTTACAACAGCATATAAGTGTGTATATGTATTAAAGAAATATTTCCATTACAATAATATTACCAAAAAATATATATATATTTCTCATCTCTCTACAAACATTATGTTGACATTTGCCATTATTCGAAATCCGTATCCATTTTTGGCTTTCATATTGATTGCTGAACATTTTCATAAATGTACTTATTTTTGTTTATTATTTGCTTATCACATATACAAATGTTGTGCATACAAGTTTTTTGGCTGACAAAATCTATAAAGAAAAATCGTAAAATTCTATTTATTAGCAGTTTGCAAAACATCAAGAAAAACCAATAAATTTTATTTGGTGTTTGTGTGTAAAATAAAATACGTACAGCAGTGTGTATGATGGCATAATAACAAATAAAATACAAATTTGCAGAATTTTCCTATGGAAATTTTTGGTTTCGTTATAAAAACAACAATATGTGGGAAAAAACATTAAAAATTTTGTAAAGAAAAAAATATTTTTTGAACACCAATTTGCAAAAAAAAAAATTAACAATTTTTAATTAAGTTATTTTTGAGAAACATTATTTTCAATGAAAAGTTACAAAAATCATTTTAAGCTATTTTTGATTTTTTTTTAACTATGGAACAAGAAGGTACGTGTGCTTAAAGCAAACTGTATAGCTGCGTACACGATAGGTAGGAAAATTAAAAAAAAATCCCGTAGCAATTTGTTATTTGAAAAGAATCTGGGGAAGCTGATAAATTGATTCTCGTTATTTGCTCCAATACCTTGCTTTTGTATAAATGTCAGCAACAGGCATAGCCAGAGTATACAAATAGTTATTATTGATTACAAAATACAAAGCATAGAATTCGTTTCAAACTTTTTCGCCCACAAACCAAGATACTTTCCACATTTCAATGTACATACGCATATTTACGGAATTCTACATGCAGCTGCTGCTGCTTTTGAAGAAGCTTTTATCCATTATATTATATGCCTCTATAAGTTTGTACTAAAAATATCTATGTATTCATAGACGGTAAAGAAATCACAACCACAAGTGTTAGTTTGTCTATAGAAAATATGTGGCACGTATGTATCGCATACGTGTGTATATTATTTGTTGTTATAACCTTTGCTGTATGCTGTCGATATTGACAACTTATTTGGTTTTCTGCCACATTCATACTATTATTGTGGGTGAAATGAAGTTCCAGGAAATTTCAAAACATCCGAATTGTATATATTTAACTTTTGTCTACAATTCTTTTAGATTTTTTTATATTGTCTGTTTAACTATTTTCTTTTTTCTTCTTTCGGAGTCAGGTTCTTACTTTCTTCCTTCCTTGTGATTTTGAAAAAATAAAAGTTAAGAGAGATTTCAATTAGAGTACCTGCAAAACTTTTATGAGCATTAATCCCAATTGAGTGGTTTAGTAAATTACACAGCACAAGTGAAAAGTATATTCAATATTCAGAAAATTGGCAACGTTGCAAGAACCATTAAATATTATATTACACGTTGTGCTGTGCGAAGGAAACATAGTTTGTTTTTAGCTTTTTCAATATATGTCTAAACAATTGAAGCTAACAAGGGCATGCTTTTAAATAATATCAGCATAACAGCCAAAATTCGTAATTGAGGAGTTAAAGCATAGAAAATTGGCAACGGCGCATTCAAGAAATTTAGATTTTCATGTATTTTAATAAGAAACTAGTACCAATAATAATAAAAATAAAAAAATAAGAATAAAAATAATAATAAAAATAATAATAATAATAATAATAATAATAATAATGACAATAATAATAATAAAAATAATAATAATAATAATAATAATAATAATAATAATAATAATAATAATAATAATAATAATTATAATAATAATAATAATGATAAAAATAATAATAATAATAATAATAATAATAATATTAATAATAATAATAATAATAATAATAACAATAATAATAATAAGAATAATAATAATAATAATAATAATAATTATAATAATAGTAATAATAATAATAACAATAATAATAAGAATAATAATAATAATAATAATAATAATAATTATAATAATAATAACAATAATAATTATTTTAATAATAATAATAATAATAGTAATAAAATTCAGTTTGATATATGGCAACAAGGCATAAATAAGCAAAATAAACAAAAATAATGCTCACCTTGCATATGCGTGAGAGCGATCTCTTACCGGTGCAAAGACAGTACTATTGGTATCAGTGAGAGAGGAGAGTTTCCGATTTCCTCAGTTTTGAAAAAAAAAATAAAATTATAAAAGTAATAAGTCATACTAAGTTTACCCAATTTCATTGCAAATTTATGGACCACGCCATAATTCATAACTATGCCACTAACTAGATTTCAACTATGGAGCTTCCTGTATACTGCTTTTATAGTAAACATACCTACTCCCACACATATACATATTTTACCATTATTGGCGTGGGTGTCGCCATTTGAATTAAATTTACCAACAACAAACAAAGGGCAACAAATAATAAAGCACAGATATACACAAATACACACACACACACATAACATTTGGATTTGCGAATAATAGCAGTTCACCAATACTTAAACGCATATTGAACATTTTTCATATCATAACTCAACAACTCATTGTTTCCAACAAATTGTAATAAATAAAAATGTTGCAATATTTTTCCTCCTGCCTTTTATTTGTGTCTGATACATTGTGTTTGTGTGTGTAATGTAGTAAACGTTAAAGCGCTGCGAGCCATTACCATGCCATGTACGATTTGTTCATGTATGTATGTATGTGTTTGTGTAAATTTTATTATTGCACTTGCTCTTGCTTTGACTGCCATTTGCCATATTTCCTTATGATTTGTTGCTATTTATGTTTTTCGCTTTATTTTTATAATTCATACACTATACTGTTCATTTCCCAAACTCTCGTTGAGGACTCATTTATACATACACTCACACACACAGACGAGCGCCGAGACTTTTTTACACCCACAGTCAGATTGAAAATGTCACAGCTGTGGCAACCAACACACGCACACACATACATACGTACGTGTACATGCATAAAATCACATGCATATAGCACGGTGACAAAGTGTGGTTGAGTGGGCTGGCACTTTGGTGGGGGTTGATGGTCTTCAGTGGAGAGAATACAATGTATTCATGCCACCGTTGGTTGTGGAATTTTTATTTGCTCGTAACATATTGATAAGTTGCAAATAAATTTTTATTGTGCATTGGAGTAGAGCACAGAGAGTGAAATGAAAATAAATAAATATAAACAAAAAGCGAAATATTAACAGTAAACAAAAACACAAAAAAGGGTGGGGGAGTAAAAGAACGCGGTGAGGAGAGGCGAAAGCAAGTAAGAAATAAAAATTGTGAGCTATGAAAAATGTGTCACGCTTTGCATTGTGTGCTACCAACCGTAAAATGCATTGTCGATTTATGTCTGCTTGCACGTACATATATATTTGCTTATAAAATTTATACAAACCCATACATAATATTTATTTTTGGATGAAGAAATAAAGCGGAAGAAAAAATCATTTACTAATGCTTGCGGCAGGCTTTTGTTCCTTCATTTAATGCAACTAAAAGCTGGAATTAAAATCAATTTATTCATAATAAATATATACACAAATTTATTTACGCATTCAACATGCCTAAGAATCACAATTAATTGAAAAGTCTCCCGGTCCGATAGGAATGAATCTATCTCTTCTCCTTCTGGTACTAAAATAATTCGGACCAAAGTTAGTATATCATTTTATTTATAGGAAAAGGTATAATCACCAGTCGATGGTAAACGAAACCGTCAACTTTTAAATGTTTTTTTTCCATTTTTTTTTTTGATATTGAAAATAACGAATGTTTAATTTTTTTTTTTATTTTTTATTTTTCACATCTTTTAAATCTAAACTACAAATTTAATATATATATTAATAATATGAATATTTGCTTCATAAGATATCAGTATTCAATTGATTTTTTTTACTGATTAAATTAAATAATCATCAAAATTCGTGTTTTTCGCTTTTTGAGAACTATTTAAAATAAAAAAAATATATGTTTTTGACACCCAAAATTTTTTTTTCAATCTGTAAGCACATTTTTTTTATATATTCATATATACGAGTAGAGTATATACCATCTAATAATACGCATGGAATGGTCTCATCACGATGTTTTACACGTCTTAATGAAAGCATTTTTTTTTCTATTTTCTATTGTTCTTATTTAACTTCTTTCGAAACAATTAAGATGATCAGATCTCCCTAGAGTTGGTCATTTGTAGTGTAGAAGGGTGTTAGTTACCCATTATTCTGAGAGTCTATTATTGGTGTCTGTGGATAGTTTCTATGTTTGAGTTGGCTATTATAGCCCAAAAGTGTTTCCCATATCGGTGGATTCATGATGTATTGATCTGGTAAACCGCAATCCCTTATTTTTAATTTAGTTCAGGACTTTACTTATCATAGTTGGAATTTTCGGCTTTAAGTCAATTGTGTATCGTTTTACTCGCGTACTTTATAATCATTTTAAGTGTAGTTCCAAAATGCCTCTCTCCTGAAAAGCCGTATATGAGTTGGCAAAAATTTAAATAACCGATTTTTACAGGCTTCTTGGGAGGCCAATTTTTCAGCATCCAAATTATTCGCTCTAACTCAAATATAGATATTAAATTTCTAACTAAAAAAATATATAAAATTTTCATACTTACTAATGAAAAATTGTTTATTCTTTTCTAAATTACAGGCGACGGACGAAACCAGTGGATTTCCATCACAAACACCAACTTCATATTTGCACGAAAGACGTAAGTAAATACTTTGAAGAATTAAAATCATGAATATTGCTGGAGGCTTGCGATCTTAAACTATACCACAAAAAGTAAAATGAGCAAATAGAAAAAAATTAAGCGAGGAAATTTATTAAAATCTGAAATCGTGCCTTCAAACCACCAGTTAATATAAAGTTATCTACTTTATGCTTTCAAAACGTATATACTGTGAGCAAAAATTAAGGTGAATTCCCCCCCGACGCATGGCACTAATGCCAACGCTTTTCCCAATTAGTCACGTTCTGGCATGACCTAAAGAGAGCACGTTTAATCTCCTCAATCGACTCAAACCGGTGTGCTCGAAGAGGTCTCTTGATTTTTTGGAAGAGCCAGAAGTAACATGGTGCTAAGTCCACGTCTCAACTCCTGTAATCATGCATTTCAGCTTGTCCTGGTATTCAAAAAGCTTAGTTTCACACACATCAACGCGACGATTTTTTCCATGAAATTGTGTATTTTTGAAACCAAACGAGATTTGACTTTTCGTAGGCACAGATAGTCTTTCAAAACCTTTTTACAGATACTTCTGATATTCCAACCATATCAGTAAGGTCTCTAACAGTCAATCGATGATTTATGGAGCACTACTTCCTTAATTTCATTGACGTGTACACCTCAGTTGACGTTGATGGTCTCCCCGAGCGCTTAAAGTCATCAACACGTTTCCGACCCTCTTTGAAGTCTTTGTACCACTTATACATGTTCTTTTTTCTTTCCAGAAATAAGAATTAACCCGAAATATTAAGCTTGAGAAGCTCAAATTAAAAATTCACCTCTTACTCTTTTCATTTTTAGGAGAAAGAAACTTCCATTCGTTTGACGTGATTTTTTGACACTTTTGGAATCCAAAATAATCAATTTATTATTCATTCTCACAAACACGATCTTTAGCTTAGCAACACAAAAAAAGCCAACGGCGCCAAATCACAAGATCTAGATGGTCAATTGACATCGTCCGGATAACCGATTATGCGACCGTGTTGAAACCATATCATGTGCAAGTCGGTTATCTGACGATTGCTCCGAGTTCAGTGTAACAGTCTCAGCGTTGTCTTTATCAAAAAAAAAAAGGGTCATTCATATCTCATTCATATTCGGTTAAGAAAATTTTGTTCAGAAATCGTAGTCCACTGTTTGTTGTTCTGGCACCCAATCCACTTATTACAAGCAGTGTGAATATTTCGCTGGCTTTAGTTCTTGTGTGGGCAAAGCCTTGCTCGTAAGTGAATGAAGGAGAAAGTCGAGAAATAGATACATTCGGGTCTTGGAGAAAGCTTTCACTTTCAGTAGCGATATTTGATGAAGAACAAGTAAGACGGAGATGCACGGGCCTTACAATATCTGCTACACATCCAAAATTTTTAAATTTCTTCACCAGTTTACCAATTGAGTGAGTAGCCGGATGTTTATTGTATTCTTAATATCCTCCTAAAACTATTTTTTAATGGATTTTTCAGCGGTCAATTTTCATAAAGTCCGCACTTTTAACTAAAACAAAAAAGGTTTGGCTTCACTGTTCAAGTTCTGTCAACTATGCAAATACAGCCCAGTGTTTTTGAAATCACTACATCAAAAGAAAATAAAATTATTTTTGGTTGGCAACCGAATCTTTTTTATGCAAGGAATGAAATCTTTATTTCGATTTAATTTCAATCCGTTTTTCTTTTACAAAAAATTTATAATTTTTGTGTTATTGTAGGTAAAATTAAGTTAAAAAAAACATAAAATTTAGTGTAAATTATACTATATTTCGAATTTCCAATTTTAATATTTATATTCTCTGCGAAAGCGAAATTCCTTTTCGTCAGTCAAATGATTTGAATTAACTGCTTTTTTAATTTGATTGAATTCAACCAGGCTCCATGGTTTTATTTTAAATCTGTACCAAGTCCAGTTACTGATTTCGATGTAAAGCGCTTTTCACACAAATTTATACATCTATATTTCCGTGAATGTATATGTGCGCAACGTCAATTGCAAAACACTAAACAAAATAAACACTGAATTCGGAAATACTAAATAAAATCAATCTATGTAAATGAAGCGAAAGTTGCAAAGTTTTCAGCACGGGCACACATTTACATACATATACACATATTATATATGTAGACATATCTAAAAGCATAAACATGCATAATAATTTTCCATGAACACAAAACTGTGCCTGCATTCACCTGCGCTTTTATGAGAATTTACAAATAGCCAAACGATATTGCGAGTACATAAATACGCATATTTGAGCTTGTTGATTGTAGTTGCAATTCGAGCACTCGTACAAATGTTTATATGTAATGTATATGTATATATATATATAAATAAGTCTTTTTATGTGTAGCGCTTGGCAAAATTTATCGCACCCTAAGGATGAGGTTGGTGCAAAAAATGCATATGAAAATAAATAAACCTAAATATTTATGTAAATTTCATACAGTTTCACACTGTTCGCGCTTGCAAGAGTGTGTGTGTTTGTGAAGGCAAAGGCAAATAAATTCATGTATAAAGTGTAACAAGCCACACATGACATAAATTGCTTGTTATTGCGTTTTTCACAAATTTACATATCAACGAGAACTAATGCCCAACACACACACACACAAACACACATATCTACTAGCAGTGCGTAGCTATCTACACATACATATCTTGCTACAAATTTTTTTTAGCAAATTTACATATGTAGAAATGCTTAAAAAAGCGTGATAACTAAAAGCGGAAAGAGTAAACAGTGTTTTTTGTCAATACTCTTTAATAAAATTTGCATTTTAAATTCAAAAATATTAGCAACCAACAAAATATTGTAAAAGAGTGCTAAGAGAAAAACGTAACTTGATGTATAAGTTAAAAATTAAACAGAAATTCGTATTTTTTCAAATTTTTTGTTCAACATTGTATATCACTTTATAAGTTAAAACCACTCTAGGATTTCGATTAGATGAAATTTTTTTTAGTTAATTTTTTATATTTTTAGTCAAAAATAAATTTAAAAAAAACGTGTGCCGCTTTTACTAAAATTATTTAAAAAACATATTCGTACGTACTTCCAAAGGCCATAGCTACTGGATTATAAAACTGTTTGCATTTCTCTTCAATGTCTCATCCTTTAGAAGAAACGGATCCTCCAGTGGAAGCTTTTCAGAAAAACATGTATAAAATAATGCATTTTATCAAAGTGATTTTATAACAAAATAATAAATAGAGAGTATATTTTTATACTTCAATATATGTTCAATGAAATGGTTAAAAAGCATTTCTATTCCATTTTCCAAATTTCTATAATCAATTTAAAAAGATTCGTATATTTTTCAACCTCTAAAATGGCTTTTCCTCGCAATATGAGATTATAACTAAAATATTAAAAAAAAAAAACAAAATAAAAATAAAACGTAAATATTTAAAATAAAAATTTTGACACTATGATTTTTTTTTTGTAAAATTCGATAATCGCACAATTTGTCGTTTTTTTTCTGGATTAATAAACAAATTAAATTTCTTTTTTAACTTTCATTTTCAGCATATCGTACAACAAAAGGTGAAAAAGGTGAACGCGGACCAAAAGGACCACCCGGTGATAGTATACGTGGTCCACCGGGACCACCAGGCCCACCGGGGCCGAAAGGTGAATCGGCTACATTTCCGCCATTCGTGGATTTTCCCACCGGTCCCGATGCGGTAAGTAAAAAATTATACTTACAAATTATATGACAAATTTTATTATGGTCAAAGTAATTATAAATTATAAATCTTTAACATTTTTTTATCCAAAAAGTTATTACTTCATCACTTTTTTTTTGAAATCTCATGTACTTATACTTAACATATCTTATGATCTGTCATTCACTTTTCTTTTGATATTTAGGCTTCATTAAAATAGGTTAAATCAGACTACGTTCTATTGGATCTGTTACGCCTTACGTAGACCTGTTGCTTTTTTATAGTGCGAGATATATCTAAAGTAGTTGTCGTATAAAACGTCAACGTATTTCGAAGCTCGAAACTTTATTATCAAATTTGGATACTTCATATAGCCTTCTATCCCCTAGTTGTCTTAATCGAGTGCTAGATAAAGTCAAACAGAAACAGATTAGTTATTTCCGCGTCTCAATAATTTCTTCCTCCGCGCATCTCGCATGGGCATCACACACAGGTTGTGGTATGTCAATAAACTAACAACCATACTGCAGTCCTTTTGACAGCGATTGAGCCATTACACATAATTTTGGCGGTTTTAAGGACAATAATATGTCCACCAAGTTCGCCTGATCCATTCTTTCTGGCCTAGAGCCAGGCATATGTATATGCTGCCACAACCTTACCCAACAACAAGCGTAAGCAACCGACTTATCAAAAAAGGTCAAATAAATTTCAGCGAAGGGAGTAAGATTGTATGGGCCGTCTAATGGAATCGGAAGGAATATAAATCTAACGTCGATTGTGCCACCACCGCAATGGCAGTTCCACGCGAGCGTCTGATCTTCAGCCTGTTGGGACGTCACATCTTTCATACGGAATTGGACACAAATGGTTGGAGGAAACTAATCTAGCGATATATTCACAAAAGTGTAGTTAGGCACCGCTCGAGAGCGAAGTGAGCATACTCTGTAGCTTGGATGCGGCCGCTCAGGTCTTCGAACTAAGCTTTCAATCAACCATCAAACAACCAATCAACACATTTCCTTGCATTTCTCGTAATAATAGTGCAAAGTGCCTCTTGTGGGCAATGCAATTTATCTTCTCACAGATACCGTTAACCATATCATATTTTCCTGCTTTTTTAACAGTTAGATTGGCGGCTGCGCTGCTTCGGATGAGAGCTTTTGATAAGAGCCTAGAGTTCTCCTGAATATATTCCAAATTCTCTCTCGTCCGCTTGGACGAAGATTTTTCATAACCCAATTTACCTGAATTAGGGCCTTACAGAGGCAGGCTGTAATTTTTACATAAATAACTCATTTACTTAGCAAAAAAAAAATCATATTTCCTAAGCTGCTTTCGTCACACAACAATTTATGCAGGTGTAAATAAATATAAATTTCCTTATAAGTAAATAAATTCAAATCTACTAGAAATGTGCCGACAAAAGACTCGGAAGGTGGGGCATTCAATTGGAAATATGCAATTAATTAAACCGGTAATGAAAAACAAATACAAAAACAACACCTTTCATCCTTACTGAACCCGGCATTGGAAGCTGTCAGGTGTCAATAAAACGTGAATTTTAGAAAGTCAATTACAAAAACATTTTGCTCAACTCCACCTGTCACTTAATGCCAATAAAGCAATCAGATGTTGATCAATCATTAATGACAGACTGAATCGGCGATTATACACTTAACTGGTGTGTTTATCTATTATCTGATTTATCAGATGAACGTTTGTTGTCGCTTAAGTGCGTGTGAATGTTTTTGTGTGTGTGTGTGTGTATGCGTGTGTGTACATTTTCTAAGTACGACTTGTCTTGTATGTTCGGGTGTATGTATAGACAGATGTATGTAACATTTGTATGCAATTTGTGTATGTGTGTGTGTGTGTGTGTTAATGAACACTGATCACAAATTCCATATAAATTTTGCAATTATCAGCTGATACTCAAGTAATTGTACAATAATTAGTGCATAATAAACACAATTGCAAATGCACGAACAAAAGCGCATCCACACACATGCACACACATACGTATGTACGTGCTTACATATTTATGTACATATAAGCTATGCTATTGAGCGGAAGCAGCAGAAATATGGACGTTTGTAATGGCAATATGGTCTGCCTATTATCAGCTACCAATTGATTTACTAATACACATAAACATGCATTTGCAATCATATGCCTATTAATATGTATGTATGTATGTATATACTTATATGTATGTGTTTGCATATTAATGCATTTGTATGTGCTTGAAAATGATGTAGTTATAAATGCAAACGAAGTAAACGCAAATTAACTGTAAATTCTGCACTAAATCTACTCTACTCTCTCCACATCTCTCCCGCGCGCTCTATCTTTCTTCTTTCTACGCTTCTATGAGCGGGCCTAATGTATGTGCGCATTTATGTGTGTGTGGCTGAAATCCGCTAGCTTACCTATTTATTTACGATTGCAGTAAACACGAGTGCATATTGCAGGCAACGGCGTAAATGTGCTCATATGCAGAAGTGTATATATATATCATACATATGTATATTGTATGAGTACAAGTGTAGGTGTATGAAGCAACGTAAATTTGCGAAAACTCGATAATTGTCTACTTAGCGGTATTAACGCGATTGTTGAAGGGTTTTAATTTGTTGCATTTACTAACGGTAGCGATTGCAAATATTGCACAGACACACACACACACACACACACACAGCCACACATACTCATAAACATAAGTGTACTCAGCAACAACTGCATGTTTGTATATTAATAACTGTGAACATTGAACATGCATAAACACAGGTGCACCACTACCACTGCAAACACTCATTTGCCCATTCGCGTTGTTTATCAATTAATAAGTGGTAAACCGAATGTACTTCTATGGCAATTATTTGTTTGAGTAAGAAATTATCGGTCAACTGCGGGTCAGCAGCAGCGGTGTTGAAATTATATTTTTTTTTCTAAAATTATTTTTATATTCTTTTACTGCTCACATAAATGTTGTACATATTTACTGAATGGCTCAGCAGGAATACTTTTGCTCCATCAGAGCGATGTATTTTGACATTAAAAAAGGCAACTTATTATGCATTATATATGTATGCAATAAATATAAGTATTATATAAAAATGGAAGGTCTATTAGAGGGAAGGCATGTAGATATATTTCTGGATCTAAGCGATTTTAGTAGGACAGTCAGCATTGTGAAGGTCTGCTCTAAGCCGCTCCATACAAACCGAAGCTTCCGATGATTCCTTATGGTGTAATGTCGGCGTCAAAATCTGATAAGCCTGCCGTATGAGTCTTCGAGAGAAAAGTTTTGCGTATGATTTAAGGTCCTTTGCGTATTGGCAATGACGAAAGCTGCAGACGATGGAACGAGCTGTACTAATTATACGATGATATGGAGCGAATGAAGATAAAGGTTTGAAAATATTTGATGCAGTATAAGAATACCTCCAGTCCGTTGGAAGGATCAGGTGGAGAGTGATCTGGCATCACTCGGTATTTCCAACTGGCGCCAAACAGCGAAAAGAAGGAATGAATGACGCGTTGAAATTGATTTGGCTATAATCGCGTATTGACGCCAATAAAGAAAATGGAAAAGAATAGCATTTCTGCAGAGTTTCTTTGTGTTCTGTTAATTATTGTGTTAAAGATTCGCTCTTCCAGGGTATCCCACTGGCTAAAAGGTTTCATCAATATGCTATTTGATTCAAAAGGTAGACGGTTCCCTCTTACCCTAATTTATTTTATTTTATTTTATTTTATTTTATTTTTTTCAAAGCGATCTTCTCTAAGAAATGTATCTTTATTTTCTCATTTATTTACCTAATTATCGTTATTTTTGTACTTTTAAAGTTGGAGGTATATGTGCGTATATATACTTACGTCTATCCCTACTAATAATATTCTTTCTATATTTCCCGGAAAAGTTTATGCGAGAGATTTATTTATTCAGTACACAGATAACTTAGATTAGCAGCAAACCCACTCTTCTCTCCGTGATGTAAGCCAAGAAGGATGCTGTGCTTCCCAGGAAATAGATCAGGGACTGACCCAAAACTGTATATGTGTTCAGATTAACTTAGAATTCGGTATTTTTGATACTTATTCGCTTAATGTTTGAGTTAAATTTTTTATTGCTATGTCTAATGGAATAATTTTGATTTCTGGAAATGGGGCAGAGAACTGGAGCAAAGTTCGAATCGCTCGAAATATGAATATTACATTCTTTCTTGCAAAGAGATCACCGTCAGATTTACTAAAATTAATTTGATTGGTATATAAGCATTAACGTGGGTTGCGGGTTAAACGTGAGTATTAAATATTCCAGGTCTGAGTGGAGCGTTTGGCGCGGCGAGGACAAAAAGTCAAAAAATTGCAGAGCAACGTAATAAAACCAACAATTCAAACCAGACCTTTCAAAAATGAAGACAACATCATGCCTCGAAACCTATTATTCCATCCGATGAGACGGAAAGTTTCGAAAATTGTTGTTATTTATTGCATAGTTTTTCTTATTATATACATCATGACCAATGTATAAAGAAGCCTCAAATATTATTAACAAACAGAATGGTTTGAAAATACAAAGTTAAAAACTGTAATCCACCATTGCTCGTGCTTTAACAAACAACAAATGTCAAAATTCTAAAAATGAAATCGTTCGTATTGAAGAATTGTTAACCATCAATCTCTTATCATCACCAGCCGGTATGAGCAAAACAAATATGCAGCCAAAATGAAATAAAAACAACAACAATAACAACAACAACATTATCATCAACAATAATATATCTGCATCATATTGTAAGTGTATTGCCGGGCCCCGAAATACCAATGGTCATCAATGCAACATGCAACGCGCAACGCGTGCTACAAAATCGTGCGAATCCACCAGCACTAACACGTTATTGTCTAGGGAAATCAGGTATTTACTTCCGTCGTTGCGTTCAGCACGTGAAATTGTTGTTGTTCTTGCTGTTTGCTGATGCAATGTCAGCGCAGGCACTTTCATTGCAGTA